AAAAATGTTTCTGCTGAGACCGAGCTGAGAAATGTGATGATACGGTGAGCGTAACAGACTAAACAAAATGGACTAAATAAAACATCTAGTTTCTGCCTGCTTTATTCCCTTCCCCATTTTAAATACCCTTCATACTGCCACTGTTTCTGTTAAAACTCCAAGTACACCAAATACCGAAGTAGGTAACTTATTTAGTGATTGATTCCTCTGTCTAAACGTAGGTGTCTATTATGAAGCCAGATGCCCTCAGGGACTCCAGTCACCAGCTGCTAAGCCACAAGGGCACAAACCTCCTAGAGATACTTCTTTGTATCCATCAGCCCTTCGTGGTGTCTCCAACATCTCAGTGCATCCCAAGTAACAGGCCTGTGTACATGTCTATATAGACAACTAAGTAAGACCCCAATGCCTGAATTAATTTCACCTAATTGTAGCTGCCTACAAGAAAGGTTTGTGGTGAAAGCTAGCCAACTACTAGCCACCTGGCTTCTTATACAGCTCATGAAGAGAGACAGGTGCATCCAGAGAAAGTCCTAAAGCCGATGACATAAACTGTCCAGCGAGAAACATAGAAGCCCAGAGAAACCTCGTAGTTCAGTGATCTAGTTGGGTAAAACCAATCACAGAATCTTTAGGTTGGAAAAGACCTTTCAGATCATCAGGCCCAACCATTAATCTAAGCCTGCCAAGTCCACCAGTAAAGTATATTGTACACACTTCTCTTAAATACCTCCAGGGATGGTGACTCCAACACCTCCCTGGGAAGCCCACTCTAATGCCTGACAACCCTTTCAGTGAAGAAACTGAATAAACTAATCTTACTTCTGGACTTTCTATCCACTGAAGGGATATCCATGGTAGACTAGTAATGGGACAGAAAATTTAACATGGAGAAAATTAAACATGTAATTAAACATTTCAAAGTGCAAGATGAAATTTGCTTTTAGGCTTATGACTACTAACTAGGTCAGCAAAGTCTAATTTTTTTGAAATCTCTTTTAAATTACAATACTTCCCCGTATTATATTTTCAGTTTACATATCAGAACCCAACATCAAACTATTTTCCCTTCCTCCTGCAAATAATCCTGTATCAGGTGTATTAATCTCTTTTAATTTACAATACTTCCCCGTATTAGATTTTCAGTTTACATACCAGAACCCCACATCAAACTATTTTCCCTTCCTCATGCAAATAATCCTGTATCAGGTGTATTTCCAAATGCTGAACAGCAAAGGTATCCGTCAGCAAACCGTTAGCCAAATCATGGCTCTGTGTCATTCAGATTCAGGACCTAGTTACACTGCATTTTGAGTTGTGTGCTTTTAGACTTCTGTGCGTGCAGCAGAACGGTGGAACATCACACACACGTGACAAATGGGGCAAACCCCACATGCTGTTACATAAGACAGGTAGCATCCAGCCAATGCAAGGCAAAACAGCCTTGCCGGGGTGGTGTCAGATCACCCCACATATAATGCAACAGAAATTACTCAACAGTCCACAAAATTGGACATATTCAAATAGAAAAGTATGAGGCTTTGCAGCCAAGAATAACTGGAGAATAAAAGAAGTTGCAGAAATGCAGTAGTATTTTGAGAGTCCACGGACTGATCTTTCAAGGACCTAAAAAGTTTTGATTAGCCCCAGCAGTCTGCCTACTAACTGCTTTGCCTACTTTGGGTCCACTAACTCAGAGCCTATTTGTCTTCGTTAGAAATATCCCAGATGCTGAATTCAGACATACAGCTTGGTAGTCACTGCTAAGAACTTTATGCCTTGGGGCAATGTGGCTTCATCAGTATAAAAATATCTTCCTTCCATTTCTTTCTCACAAGCTTAAACTGTAGTAAATTAAATTCAGAAAGTATTCAGCAATATTTGTAGGGTTCTTCTGCAGGAACTTTGACTGAAACAATGGAGACAGAGAATGGGGAATATCATACAGTGGTCAGTCTTTTAACAGCAAGATTTTTTTTAACCCCTGTGCATGAAAATGCAGTAAACATATTAGCTTGCAAGCATGTACACGACAACACTTCTATCACAGCCAGAAAGAACAGAGGAATTGATAAAGACAACTCCTGCATATATTTAATTCCCTGGCTCATTTTTCTCCCTCCATTGATACCTGTCCAATTCCTGGACCCCGGATAAAGCTGCTGGAACATTTCCAGAAAAGGTGCCTTTGATAGTTCCCAGCTGATGGCACTCTGGTTTGCTTTAAATTCTCCCAGCCGATTAATCCAGTGGCCATACTTATTCTGAGCTATAATTCGTTTTGGCAGATGACATGCTGTCCCTTCATGGGCATGGAAAACAACATTAACTTCTCTTACTTGTGCTGCAACTTTCCTTCTCTGGCTACTTTGAATAGAGCATTTTGCTAGTCATTATATTCTCTGCAGAATTGTCTATATCGCCAGCTTGGTATTCCTAAACATTTGAAAGGATCAGGGAGGAAAATTTAGTGACACAACAGTATTATAGCAGGTAGCACATGAAGTTTATTACCCATGATGTTTGATCCTCTGGGCAGTGAGCTGTGTTGGAGCTGGAATAGAGAATATCATCCTTGACTAAAACAGAGATTGCTCTTAGAATGAAAGAGAGGAACAGGTTCAGATGGATGTAGTTCCGAGTACAATGAAGTTTTCTAAGAAGAGATTTAAAAACAGGCATTTCAGCTTTTGAGAAATCTCTTGAACAGACTTCTATTACTCTCTGGTCATTTCTTAGCAATATGAACATTGTGTAAGAGCCTACCCTTTCCTCCCCTGTCGTATTGTCAGTGCTGCCTTGCTATTTTCCTTTATCATCATCATCCTCATCAGCATTATAGGCTGTCCAAAATATACAAATAAAGTATTTCTTCTCTTCAGTATCACAGACCAAAAGATCCCAGTGGTATTTCTCCCACACTTCAACAAAAGCTGACAATAAACATAGATTATTATAACCTTCGGTGTGTGCACTCATTCCAGTGTTTTTCTTTCAAGTAAAACTTAGATTATCCTGGATATATTTCAGACATGCTCTCACCTATTATTTTCTGGTTTAATTTTTTATTTAACCCCTGCATTTTGCTATGTATTGGCTTTTCATCCTAAGATGCAAGTGTATGCAGGAGCAATTAAAAAATGCATTCAAAACATTAGATTGCCTATCTTTTCTATCCAGTGAGATGTAAAACTTCTCTTCTTTAGTCCATGTGAAAGCCTGACAAACAAATGACAAATTGAATATTCCATAAGCAAATGAGTGCTCGGGGGGAGCAAGTTATGTTGAGGGCTTTTCACTTAAAAGACATTCCCTTGAAGATCTTCTCATTAAATGTGATTTTTTAATAGCAAATCCCCAGAAACCAAATTGCGAAGAGTTTTTTTTAATCAAAACCAGCACCTTGAACTGCACCTGGAAATAAGGCAGAAGCCAGGGCATTTTAGCAAGTATAAGCAATGACAGTATGAAGATGCAATAGGATGTTATGGTAGTGTGCAGTGGTAGCTTCCAAGTAGTCCTCACGTTTTGATTATTTTGATTTTTACTGAAGAACACTAAATAATCCATTCTGAAACTACTAAAGCAAGGATAGTTACAGGGAATATTGGGAAATAAATAACAGATCTGTCTTGGTAGCCCCAAGTTTGGCAAAGTACCAGACTGAACTTAAAGCAGTTGTCAAAAATCCAATGATTTCTGTGGCTATGCACGTCCTTTGCTGAAACGGGTTCAGAAAAACTGCAATACTGCTATTAGCACTGGACTGTATCGCATGTTCCTATGGAATTCAGAGATACAGGCAAACTGCAAATGGGAGAAAAATATTTTTCTCCAGTACCTAAGTTAGATGATTAAATGGGATGATTCCTCATCCCATTCAGTAACTGAAATAATAAACGCTGAATGTATAACGCTGTTAAACCAACATATTGGAGGTAGGGGGCAAAGAAGTATTTTTATTTGGGATATGTACGATGATTCAGAATAACAGCAAAATGTTGTTCATCAAAAATGAAACAAAAGCTGTCATGCTTATTTCTTTGATAGGACAACCTCATGATACAAAACTACCATGTGAGGAATGTTTACAGACAGTTGATACACATGAGCGCACGTATTCTAGAAATGATGGAGATTTGTATTTTTCTCCTTGGTAAGAAACATGTCAGAGAAACTGCCATTTTTGGGGAAGGTTTTGTTACACTGGGGTAACACTGAGGGAAGCGTAGTAAGAACTACAATACCAGTGTTATGTAGAAATATGCTGTTCTACAGTTGATTTTTTCTCTGAGTTGGAACAAACCAACCTTTTTTAAAATGTCTGAAAAATACTGTTTACTTTCAATCATTTTGATTTCCACTTTTCTAAAACTTTTATCATATATTAAAACTTAGACATTCAAAATGAAGAAACAGAAACTTGCATTCTAAGAAGGGTAAAACAACTTCTTTTGATTAAATCAAAATTATTAGCTATGCTGCTAATAAATTAAGTTTGCAGAAGCAAGAATATGCCTGACAAATGGGCGACTCCAGCAGAAAAATATTGTGCCAGAAAGTTACTAATTAGCTCTAATTATCACAAGTACACAGAGTATTATGTAGGGAGTGGCACCATAGTAACTTGAAAAATGCTGTCAGATTAGTCTGGCAAGGTTTTTAATGACATTCACATTTTATGTCTATGATTCGAGATTAAAAGATTAGTCAGATATAAAATCCTTTCCTTTCACAATGCTTCTAAATGTGTCCTTTCCAGATATTAATAATGGGAATGCACATAATGTTTCTGTAAAGAGTAAAATTAAATCCAGTTCTTTGTATTAAACGTAAAACAAATATTGTAATGGCATGGAAACTTTCAGAAACACCTCTCTTTCCCACCCAACAGTTCTGCCTTTCATGTGCTTATAGATGATATTGCGAGCAGCCGCAAAGCCCTGAAGCTGTATCTGTTCTGCCAGACAGTACATATCAGTATATCATGGACTGCAGAAGTCAAGCTGTAATAGTTAAATTACTTCCTTGTCATGAACACATTACCTACAATTAAACTCCACATTATTTCATGTTTTCTTTCATTCAAAATACCACACATATTTGGGATTAAATGCATATATATATATATAATTTGAAGCATACATATACAAATCCAGCAAAGCACTATTCTAATAGTCCCTAGTGTTACTAATACCCAGATTTCCAATCCTAATCCTGCTGGATGAAGTGAGGATTTTGACAACCCTACTGTGTTAGTAACTCCTGATGTTTAAGTCATTACTCAACTACGAAAACGCTTTTAGGCAGTTTCTCTTAGAAGAGTTGTTCTTTGTTCTCCTTTGTAAACACAGCAAGGTGAAAGTTTGCTGATTACATTCAAAAGAGAATGTGTTTCAGGGCTGAGTGACTGATCTTTATAAACAGAATATTGACATTCTCTGTAAAGAACCCTGGGTCTGTATTGATACCAGGGGTTGCCCCAACCCAGGTGCAGGACTCTGCACTTGTCTTTGTTGAACCTCATAAGGCTCACATGGGACCACTTCTTGAGGTTGTCCTGGTCCCTCTGGATGGCAT